TTATACTAGAAAACAAGACAAAAATACTAAGTAAGAAAATCATTTTTGCAGTGTACTTTTGGACTGTTGAAAAAAACACCCACCTACTCTCATTCTAACGCTTGGAATAGCCAAGACAATTTTTAATATAACTCCAATTGGATTCGTCTGAAATAAGAAAGTCATATACACCAAGGATGCCTCGAGGGTGAGTAAAACATGGGCTAATTTTCATTTTTGGGTGAACTAACCCTTTAACATTGGTGCATCACTAGTCAATAGTATCCCTCAATAACTAGTATTCAAGACAGAGTCTATAAAACCACAAAATATGAAACTCACAGCGAAAGGATCGGCCTGCTCCCAGGAGATAGGCAAACCCCACGACGACAGTCTCATTTTGTCCGGCAGGGACTCGGGCACCACCAGCAGAACGAACAGAATATCAGCCACAGCGATGATGGTGGCCAGAAGAACCACCAGACTGTCTCCATACCACAGGGACAGGAACGCTCCTATAGCTGGACTCGTCACTAAACTCGCCGCAAACGTCGCAGAAACCTGAAACCCAAGACCAACAGGCAATGTGTCCAATGATGCATTATCAGTGTCTATTTCTTGCACACAATGTGGATAAATTACACACTGCAAAAAATGGTTCTCTTGCTGTGTTTGTGTCTTGTGTTCTAGTATAAATATCTAAACATTCTTGAATCAAGATGCATTTACTGTACAAGTAAAATGACTTAAAATATCATATTTTCTAAAAAAAAAAAAAAGTTTGTTATTTTTGTTTAAAACAAGCAAAGATATCTGCTAATGGGGTAAGAAAAATAATCTTGTTTAGCCTTTGAATTAAGATTATTTTTCTTACCCCATTAGCAGATATTTTTGCTTGTTTTAAGCAAAAACTAACAGTTTTCTGCTAAACTGTGGGGGGTCACAGCAACCAAAGAGCAACAGAAAATTACAGATTTTCTATTTAAAAAAAAAAACTATTTTTGAGAAGCTGAATTTTACATTAAATGGAGTATTTGAACATATTTTTCCACTCCTTTGCAGATTGTAAGTTAAATGATTCATTTTGAATACCTAATTTTATCATTAAAACCAAAACATATTGACATTTGACAGCTTTCGTTATATTGTTGATACAAAATGTGAAAAATTTGAAATTTTCATTCTTATTTTGTGAAAAAAAAAGGTAAATGATGGAAAGTTTTTAGTGATTTTTTGTTAACTCAGCATCATCAAATTGGGTAATATTAGGCCTTTTTGCATATAAAATGTTATATATTATAGCTGGAATCATATGAGTAACATCTGATGGATGATATAATCATAATATATACAAAATACATTTTAATAAATGCAGCAATCTATATCTATCTATCTATCTATATATATATATATATATATATATATACACACACAAATAGAAAATGTATGCTATCCATCACCAAATAAACGGTCATTTAGGTACAAAGTCACAAGGAAAATTAACTCTAAAAATGTGTCATATGATGATGACAGGCATTCTTACCAGTCCATATGCTGTGCTTCTTTCATGCTCTTCTGTAATATCAGCCACATACGCAAATATGACAGAGAACGTAACAGAGAAAAGTCCAGACACGGACATCAGAGCAAAAAAACACCTGATGAAGAGAGACAGAAACCCACAAACACATCACTTTTATGCTTGAGCTGTCCTAAATCAATCAAGGCCAAACATTTTACCAACAGAAACATTTATAGGTCCACAAAAACAAACAGTCTCATCATAAAATCAATGCAGTACACTTTAAAGGAACAGTTCACACAAAAATGAAAATGTGCAGAAAATCGTAGTTTCCGGGCTAAAATACGAGCCCATAATCCATAATAACTCTTCCTCCAGTGAAAAAGAGCATCTGCTGTTGTCTCTCTCATCAAAATCCAGCCACATATTTGTTTAGAGATGTTTTGGCTTGTAAACAGTGCTTGATCTGTGCAGATTTCTCTCCTGCTACATTTCAACAAACCTGATGAAGAAACAAACTCATCCTGATCTCGGATGATCCTGAGGGTGAACACATTTTCATTTTTGGCTGAACTGTTGCTTTAATGCATTACAGAGAGGTTTGTCTCTCATGCAGAATGAGCTGCAGTGACTTTTAAACACGGCTGAAGAGCTTTAGTCACTTGAGAGTCATGTGATGGCACACACACACTCTCTCACACACACACACACACACACACACACACACTCTCTCACACTTGCACAC